GAAGAGAAGGGGGAGAGAAAGAGAGAGAGAAATCTAGAACAACAGATCTATATGATGATATCTACAGTGCCATAGAAAATTTATACTACAATATTATAATAACGAGCGTAAAGTGATATAATTCGAACTAATGTTATTATATCGCGATAAAACGTACGAACATCACGTAAACGAAGATCATCGAATTAAGGAAAATAATATCAAAGAGTATTTAATGTAATTATAATCTAGCAAAAAAAAATACGTACACATATATGTTTTTACTCTATTCTTGCTATAATATATATTAATGAAAAGTTTGCAACGCGTGTGTTTCCGTGTCTGAAGAACGTTTAAGATTTCGGTGTCTATACTCAATGTTGTTTTTTTAAATTACACTTCAATAAAAAAGCATTTTCTATATCAACATCTATCAACAGAAGACACGAGCTCTTTGGATTTTTTCGGCTAAAACTCAACCGTCGAAAAGAATTACAAAATTTAAAATAGATACAAAGCGCGATATAGAAATTAGGAAGACAACGAAAAGCTGAATTGAAAAAAATTTACATAAAAATTGCACTTGAATTTTTTACCCATCGTCTCTTAAGAAACGTCATTTTAACGAATGACGAAAATTTTTGTCATGTATATGTAGTCAATTGCAGAAAGAGGTAGGAAAACAGAGTTTTTCTACCGCACGTCTTTGTTACTTACAAATCATGTCAAAACCACCCGAGACATAGCGGTGAGAGAGTTAAATATATTCCAGGTAACACGAACATCCGCAGGATGTCGTAAAGACGTTCTAAAAATCCACATAAAATGTTTCAGTCGTTTTTCAAATGTTTCTTGCAGCTTTGTGTCGCTCAGACATTCATGGCGTAATACACCGTGTTCGGAGTATTCGCCGGAGTAGAGATGAGACCGGCATTGGGATCGACATAAGAATTGGACATTAACAGGACGTGCGATGCCGAATTGGTGGGACCGGAAGTCGCCTGCGGGAAGTCCCGAGTGGGCATACTGGCGGCGCCCTCGGGAACCCCGCGTTCCGTCACCGCGCATGTGTTGATACCTCGCGGCAGCTGCAACACCGTCGCTGAAGAGCCGGCAACGGCCATCGCCGTTGACGCCGCTGATGATGATGCTGATGATGATGCTGATGCTGATGCTGATGCTGAACACGCGAGCGGAGTGACATTGCCCGTTGCGGATTGCGCGTTACCGCCACCGTAAGACGTACCAACGATCGGCTCGCAGTTCTTATTGCTGTTGGCCATAATCCCGGTACACTTGAGCGAAGTGGCCGCGGCCGAGGTAGATGAGGACGAGGACGACAGGGCCGATGCTGACGCCGAGGACGATGACGAGGACGACGAGGACGACGACGATGACGAAGATGACGATGACGAGAAGGACGAGGCGGCTGCGATGGAGATCGTTTGCGTTTGTACATCCGCAGCGACAGCGACAGCGGCAGCGGCAACGGCGACGGTACCGGCAGTAGCGGCACCGCGTGCCAAATGCGCTGGATACAACGGATAGCCATCTTGGTTACTCGCCGGAATACATCTCGAGGGTGCGATCACCGTGTACGAGGATGGCGACTGCTGCGTCACCACGGGCACGCGGTACGATGCCATCTCGCCGTGGTGATGTTGATGCTGATGCTGATGTTGATGTTGATGATGGTGAAACTGCATGGGATGTACCACCGAGTGGGGCACGGGGGAGAACGCGATATTGGGCGATCGGAAGTCCTCGGTCTGATGGGGATGTATGTGCAGATGCAAGGCCTGCTGAGCGCTTTGCAACGGCAGAGAATTCGGACTGGAGACGGACGCGAGAGGCGGCGGTGGCGGCGGCGGAGGCGGTATAGGCGGTGATGTATTTAAATTGGAATGCGACGTGGCGGAACGATTCGCGTTATAGTACAACGCCTGTTGTTGATTGGTCTTGTTCAGACGAGGATATGGATACCGCTCGATGTGACTGGCGTAATTTGGCGAGGAATGCGGCGGCAGGATGCGCTGTATGTTCTGATACGTGGGGTCCGACATGCCGCTGTACGGCACGAAGTACATAGTGCGATAGCACTTGGTGCCAATGGCGGGCACGCCGCTGCCGGGTAACATGTTGCAATGATAGTTCGCAATCGTTACCGGTGGATTGCGACGTTGCATTTTCGACAGAGTGTTGGTATATATCGCGCCCGCGATGTCGTCGCCACCGCCAACTCCACCACCACCACCCGCGATACGTAGCATGCGCGTGCTAGACAACTGCTGTTGCTCCTGGAAATAATGGTGGCCATTCCTGTGTTCGGGATACAGGTGCGCAGTGCCGTCGCCGGACGGTGTTCTGACGAACTGTCGCGGTATCGTGTTCTCCAGGTAGGTCGTGTGCTCGGAGATACCCTGGATATTTGCCGTGACCGCCGTGCTCTCGGCAATGGTCTGATATATATCGTCAATTTGTCTCTGCATTGTGTTTATACGATTAATCGTATTCGTATCCCGCTCGAAGCTTCCCATCGCGGTATATGCATCTGTGGGTATAGAAACTGTCTCATCCCCTCCATCAGCAGTCAGCAGAGTCTTTGCGTCGATCTTGTCACCGTTCACGTCGCAATACATCGGCCATATCGAGTCAGATCTCGTATCGTTAAAGTTGTTGGTTGCACCAGCACAGGATGGACGCGCCCGATGGACAGCCTCGTTGGCAGCCTCGTATTGTTGCTTGATGCCTGTTACCGATGGCCGTCGATTGAATCCATAATCATTGAGCTCGTCATCCTCCTCTTCGTTATCCATCTGCGTGTCCCTGCCATCGTGGTTTTTAACAACACCCTTGCCATCGTAATTCTCATTAGATGACGTATTCACGGCCTTGTCCTCAGAATGATAACCGTTAATGAACGCGTAACGATCCTCTGTCTCATTGTAGCGACGTTTTATTCGCTCCATCCTCGACTTGTCTTGCTCGACGAATGCGAGCAACTCGTCAGCAGTGTTGTCACCAATATCGGGTCTACTGCCTATCGGCGTACATCTCGTTACATCCGGCTGACCAGCGTATTTTCTGTCCTCGCCGTTCAAAGCCGCCTCGATGTCCTCCAAACTGTACGACGAATCCGAATTATAATTTGTCGATTCGCGATTCGAAGATGTCAGCATTCTGGACTCGTTTCGATAGTAGTCGTCCTGATTGTCAGAACTATTGACTGCGACGCACGACAGCGGTGCCAGACTCGCTAATAACTGTCTTCGAACGTCCGAGTTCACTTTGGTCAACGGATTTTTGGACTGACACTCCTTCGTGAGAAAATTTCTTCCGCCCGGACCTATCCCGAGATCGGGTAGGTTCGGTTGGATATTCTTCTTATGTGCAAATAAGTCCGTGATCTTCCTATAAGTGGACTGATTCGGCGGGTTGTCTGTCACCAACATTGGCATTCCTATCGTATTATGTCCGTGCGTGGATGCCATCGCACCCGCCGTCGTTGCCATCACCGCTGCCGCCGCCGCAGCCGTCGTCGTCGTCGTCGCCGCCGCTGTCAAGGAGTTTGATCTCGTCGACATCATCGTTAAAGTGGCAGTGGTTTCCGTCGAGGCCACGCTCGCCGGCAGCGACTCGCACATAGGCCGTTCCTCGCCTAATGGCGACGTTCGTATCGAGAGGTCCCCGCTGTACTTGGCATCACTCGCGGAATTTGTGTTATCGGAACTGTCGGTCATGTCCACATTCTCGTCGTCCTGATCAACGCACGTGAGCTGCCTGATTCGCTCCTCTAGCGATAGATTCTTTGGCCGCAAGTTCTTCTTGCGCGTTATCGTGTTGTACTTGCCGATGAGACTACGCCGCAAAGTGTTCCGCTCGATGGATCTCTTGATCGAGCTAGACTCGCATTCCGGCGACTCGTAGGAGCCACCGGGGATCGTGGATTTTTTAACCGCGTCGAACAGCCGTAGACTCTCGGCGGTAATCAGAAATTTTTGCGCTTCATCCTGAGAATGCTCCGGACAAGTCGCTCCGGACGAATTCGCCTTGCTGGCTGGCGCCGGCGGTGGCGAGATGAATTTCGGATTAGGAAAAAGTTGTCTCACTGCAGAATTTGGCTTCAGGCTGTTACTAGCGAGGGACACGTTGCCCAGCTTGAAAACGAGGGACAGCTCTTTCGCGTCCTGCTCGCGCGACTGCTCGCCCGCCGTCGTTTGATCGCTGATGCGTTCCGCTTCCATTGTCGTTGCCACCCTTTTGTCGTTGCCCGTCGAATTTTTGACGTTCGCGTCGGTATCACGATCCTCTGTGATGTCCGAGTCGTTACACCGCGCGGTGAATTGCGCTGCATTTTCGTGAACTATCGACACTGGGCCGCCTGTCCCGGAACAAAGCGCCGGACTACTAAAACCGTTATCCTTTGGAATATCGCAAACGCTTTTATCTTTATCCGCATCGGATCGCCCGAAGCAATCCTTCCGCTCCTCTTCGCTAATTTCCCGCACGATCCGTCGCTCCGTAACAGTTGTCATCGTTATTGTTTCCACGAGATAACGATGGTGCAAATCTATGAAACAGAGTTATACCGTATATACTTGAATCAAACGGGAAAAATAAATGCGCCGCGAGTGTAATTAAATTTCGAACGTTTTCGTTTAGTGCGCGAGATAACGTTTCATCATCGTGTATAAAATTTTCATCTCGGATATTGTATATTGAGAGCGCTAGATGGATAAATGTGTATCGTAACATATACCTCTAATTTACTCAAATTTATCGCCTCCCACGTTTTTTATTTACATCATATCTCAAGATTAATAGTCATTAATTAAGATGCGTCGTTAATATGTATAAATTATAAATGCAGACAAATACAACCCGCGTTTCGTTTCACGTCTAGTGTCTCGAAATATTTTTGAAAGATCGATCATTCATTTAAATCGACGTTTACATACAGTCGTTCGATACAGTCAAAAAATAAATAAATTTTCGTTGTGAGAACGAGACAATTTTATATAAAAATCTTTTATAAAAGAACGTATAAAAAAATTTTAATCTTCAAATATTTATATTTCATTTATTATATTAGTATCTTTAAATTTATAAAAAAAAAAACTTATGTCTTTACAAAAAGATGTAAGTTTTGAAGTAATTTGAAATGAAAAAAGAATATACCGGGGAGAGACGCCCGATGCTGTTTATCCAGTTTTTCTTGCAAATTCCTCTGATTACCGTCGTGCACCGTGTCCTTGTTGCTCTGCGTATCCTGCTCATTCCCACGATCTTGCACTTGCGACTCGCATTCTGGAACAGAGGAAGAAGTAAGATCGAACCCACACGTCTTAGGTCATGCCTTTACACAATTATGCGCATTATTATGAGGTTCCATTAGATGCGTATGTTTACTACAGCAAAACAATAAGTAAGTTTAAGTTAACACGAGTTAGACATAGGCTATCCTATAACTCACTGACAATCTTCGGATAGTACGTGATCTTCGCGGAATTCGTTACACCGCACGTTAAATCTGCCATATTAACTGTGGACTGTGAAAGACCACGGCGTCCGTTACAAATACCATTTCTATACTGCAATATCTCGTTAAGAAACTTTATCTGTTATCAGGTGTGTTGTATGACGACGTCCCGGCAGATACGCAGAGGAGATATGGTGTGCCAATAATCGCGTATCTTCTTTTCATTATTAAATTTGTAAAAATTTGTTAAACAATATCTTTCACACGTTTGTCACACATTATTCTTTTCTAATTTGTCTTTTTTTATTGTATTTTGAATCAAATTTTATCGCAAGTCATCTATAATCTTAATTTCAAATCTGCTCGCATGGCCTATAAATCGAAATAAGTTCAGCGTAATGTTGATTACAATCTATCATAGATAAACATTATATTTTTCACGATCTTTTTTAATTGTTCTTATTTACAAAATTATGCGGAATCGCAGCGGCATACCAATTGCGTGTACTTTCCATAATTAAATAAATTTTCCTAAACTTTTATACATATGCTAATGCTATAGAAATTAATGTAAGATCTAAACAAAAAAAAACATAATTTCTTTCAGAAGAATTTAATAATGATATCACAGGCCTCTTTTAAAGGCTTGTGGTATCATTCTTTGAATGTTATCAAAATCGAAGAGGGAAAATTCCAAATGGTTTGAAATGTTAGAACAATTCCAAGCGATGGCCATCGATATTTTATGTACTTTTCAAAGTCGCGCCATGTGTATCAAGCGATTGACAGCTCGCATAATTTCTGCAGTTTCTAGTTTAACATACATTCATTAATAGTAATGCCGACGTATTTTCTATTGTTATCATGCTTCACGATATATCGCGTTCTCCATTGTAAGAACTCGACTTTCTGACTCATCGAATGATTTTACTGAAATATCTAAAAATTTAATTTTAATTTAATAGATCTGAAAATGAATTTGTTCGATTATTAAAAATTATTATATATTATCTATTATAGCCAATTTTTTATTTTTATTTTTTAAATACTTCAGTAAAATTGCTTTTTCCGTGTAATAGAAATTTTATTCAATGAAATTAATGCGATTTTACTTAAAAAAAATCGTCAAAGAGAACGTTGTCTCATATTTACTTCAATATAAGTTTAAAAAAGGAATATATATTTAATCGAGGAAAAAGTGATATAGAAGTCCAATTTACATGCAACTTGTTGTACAGAATTTTATTATTACGCATTTGTGACTGTGATACGCGACTTACTAAAAAATGTCACATGCGGTATATATTTAATATTTTTTTTTTCCTTCATATGTTTCGCAACCTGTTGTAGATCTAAAATATATATGAACAATGAAGACTACACTTTGATAATTATCAGACATGTTTTAATCTGATATCTATGTTGTAGGTTTATTCGGTCCATGTATCACGGAATGTATGCAGACTATGAATTATGTAAAACACAATCCATTATGTAAAATACTTAGGTCATACTTTAGATAGACCTTTTATTCTTTATTTTTCGTTTCTTTCATCGAGTCGAAAAATTCTGTAGACTTGTAAGCATCAGATGCCTACCCTAACATTTACGCGGTGTCCAGGAGAAAATTTAGGTATTCTATTTTATATAGTGTAAAACGCGAACCATTTGGTTAGAAATATAAGTGTTCTTACCGGGGTATCTCTCAGGGAAGTACCGGAATTACGCTAGGCTGCACTTCCGGTGAGCGTTGATACGCGAACAAACCTATACTTCCATATCTACATACATCGACATTTTGTGATCGCAATCATAGATCTCTAATCAAAGCTCTTAATCGATTATAACATATTACGAATCATGAGCTTCCCTTTTCTACTATTTGTTATTAAAAAATGTTATTTAAATCATTTCGCTTCGAGTGACAATTTATGGTTTTTTTTTTTCAGTTTTCATAAAGAGCAGTGGAATGTCAGTTTAAAAAAGAAACACCGCGGGTGTTTCAATATTGAAGCCAAAGTATTACCCGTACAAATCATTGAAAAAAAGCGAAAAGCTATTATGTTATAATCGAAATTCAAAATTGTTTTGAATATTTATAGGTAGATATTTTTTCCCCTCTGAGAAACTTTCTTGGTATTCTAAAGAATGCGCATAAGAATTCTGCTACGTTCTTAAACGGTTTACCAACCGTGGCTAGACTCATGAAAAACAATACCATTATTATATTCGCATCCTGTGTGAAGGGATATCGTGGGACTGTTCCTCGGTTATATGTGAGAAAAGAACTGAGCAACGATGCAATTCTTCTAATTTGCACCTCTCCATTAAAGCTAATAGATTTAACGCCAGATATGTAGCATCATTACTTTCATCGTGTGTGCTGGCATATGAATTACCTATTAGCATATTGTTTCCAATTATTGAATCGTAGCGCGATATCCGCGCGTGATATTTTATCGATTTTGAAACTGTTCCCTTCTCGCAAAATTACTTCACGCCTCTAGGGGGTTTTATAAAAAAAAAGCATACACGGGGATTATTATTTTTCAGATAACATGATCTTTAAAGAGAAAATGGATATTTGCGATTTATTAAATAATAATTTTTGTTCGGATTTTATTACAAACAACATGTTCATTTTTAAAATAAATAATTGATAGAGAAAAATATTTTTAGAAAAACATCCTATCATAAATAATAGCAAAAAAGCAATAAATTAATAATATGCATAACAAACTAATATGGGCATTTAAAATATGAATAATATTAAATTTTGTTTGCAATGAAGAAGAGCTTATTTAAAACTGTATTATGCTTTCAACAAAGGTTTTTGTAGTCGGGCTGAAATAATTTTTCAAAATATTTTACGAAAAAAAATGAATCAATAAAATTCTTTGAAAAAAAATTACTTTGTACAGAATTCAAATATCATTGATAGAAATTTGGAAATAGTTTAAGTAAAAATTAATATATAAATTTTTAGCAAAAAGCGAATTATTTGCAACAGAAATTTTTAAAGAAATAATTTATAGTTATATTAAAATCGGGAAAAAAAAAAGAGAGTAGCACACTTCGTCCGTTATGATTTTACATCGTAAGGATTAATGTTGCGGGTGTTTCTTGATTTAAATGAATATTTTACATGATTGTTAGACGATAATAACGGACTGCACTCGACTTTCCTTCCTTTTCTAATCTATATTCATATCATATTAAAGTTCATATCAAAAGTTCATATCAAAAGTTCATATCAAAAGTTTTCTGAACCTTAAAGTTTCAAGTATGCCTTTGTAGTTTAACGTTAAGCGTTTGTATTACGCGACTGCAAAATACATTGCAAAACTGGTCTTTTCTTTAGTAACAAGAAGAACATTTGTCTGATGCTCTTCGACTTTAAATTTACAGCACTTACGGCGAGTTTATCCGTTTGGTATTTTTAATTAACGATAATAATTTCAAGTTATTATTTTTATATTGTATCTTCATAATTATATATAAATTATTTTTAACATTGTTACTTTCCTTCCTATTATAAAAAATAAAATTTGCAAAATGAATATGAGGAAATAACGTTTAATTATTTTCCAAAGCTAATTAATAATTAAGATAATTTAACGAGTAGTGACAATTTTACTAAAATATATTCTTATTGAATTATAGAAGAGATTACACTTTAATCTTCAATTATCTAAATGAGAATCTAATCGGCTGAAAGGCTGAAGGGATTTGCTGAGCAAAGTTAATTCTCTACTGGGGGAATATTTATAGATATAGATATATATAAAGCTTTGTTAGAATTAAAATGTCCATATTGGCAAAATTGGTAATATTTTGTAACTCCGTTAACATTTGCAATTTTTCTCAACTATAATTGTTTTTAAATTGGCTTTTCGTTGAATATATTATTATTTATCGTGTTACGTTAGGTGGCAGGTACATTAAAATTTAGCACTAATACAGATGTATGCGTGCAACTGTTAATGTAGAAAAAAAAAATAGTCGTTTTAGTAAAATATTGTAATGTTTGGTGTTACACAGTGTATAAAGTCCACCCTTTTTCTCTCTGTATGATATCAAGAATGTTCACAGAAGAATTAAGAGAAAGAGCGGTGACAGAGGCACCGCAGAAGTTACGTCTTCCGTATCTCCTAGGTATTAATCGAGATATAATTGGATTGGATTCATGTTATACAACAACGCTAAGAGTCGGCTCACCCGTTGCCTGTTGCTGATAGTAATTGCACTCCGCGCATGCCGTGGAGGATGACGCGCCGCCACGTTGTTCCGTCCCGTTCGCGATCTCGTTGTCTTTGTAACCCTCCGGCGGGCTAAGCGTTTCCTGCTGCTGCTGGTCGTGCCGCGGCGGCGGCGGTGGTGGCGGAACTACGGTTCCGCTCTCCTCCTGGGAATCCGCGGCCGTCTCCTTCAGCCGGCATCCTTTCGTCGCGTCCTCCGCGTCCACGTTTCCTCGCTCGTTCGCGTTCTTCCCTTCCGCGGCTGCGGCCGCCGACACCACCACCCTCTCCACCTTCCCGTCGACGTTCTCCTCCTCGTCCTCCTCTTCATCCTCCCGCTCCTCCTCCTCGTCCTCTTCTTCCTCGCCGTCATCCGCCTCCTCCTCGTCCTCCTCCTCGTCCTCCTCCGTCTGCGAGTCCTCGCGACCCTGCTGATTCTTTCCGCGGGGTCCGCCGCCGTCACCGCCGCCGCCGCCGCCGCCGCCGCCGCCGCCGCCGCCGCCGCGATGATCCCGCGCGGCGTTCTCGCAGAGCGCCTGCTCTACACCCCTCGCCATCTCGCCGTATCTACCGTTGCCGGTGCCGGTGCCGGTGCCGATGCCGAAATGCAAATTCAATTCCGCCCGGCACTCCTTACAATTGCCCAATCGCATAAACTCGTGCTCCTGATAGCAGCAGTCGCAATCCTCTTCGTAATCGGCGCAGCACTCCTCTTTGATCAGTATGATGTAGTCCGCTGCGAAGAACTCGTTCAGCTTCTCATTGATCACCACGCGATGCTTCTGCGACTTCGCCTTGGTCTGGCCCGGTTTCTTCAGCAGCGACTTGAGCGTCTTGGCCGCCGGTTCCGCCGGATGTTTGTTGCCGTGTTCTTTCATCGTGGTGCTTCTTTCCCTTGCTACCTGTCCCTCTCTTCCTCTCTACGTTGCTCTTTTTCTTTCTTTCTACTTCTCCCCCTCTCTCTTTTTCTGTGTCATTCGCTCATCGACATGTTGTACATCCTTCCTTTGTATACTTTTTCCATAGCCCTTACAGGTCTCGCTCCCAGGACAATACAGCTATATTTTCTGTCTCCGTCTCTCTCTCTCTCTCTCTCTCTCTCTCTCTCTCTCTCGTTGTTCGTTCTTACCACCGCCACCTGTGCCACGACTTCCTACCTGTCCCTCACGCTCGCGTTCCCACGGCGGTGAGGTGCGTATACACTTTCTCGCACGGCTAACGATATTCCACCTATCTATACGCCGCCGTTATCGTTCATCGTCGTCCGACAACCCCGTCAGTCGCGCGGCCATCGACATTCGCGTCAGCGTATCGTTATTACGGACACGCCATGGATCGGCCGACGTTAAGTGATCCTGCCGACGTACGACGG